GAGATCCAACTCAAAGCAGCTCAATCTAAAAAGTGACTGAGTTGACTGCTATAACTGGAAATTTTAACAAGTCAGTCTGGATTTTCAGGCATGGCTGAATGCAAGATGCCATCAGGGTCCTGGCTCTCTCTGTTACTCAGGTTTGCCTTCTTCTGAGTTAGCTTCATTCTGAGGCAGACTCCCCCATGAGGTGGCAAAATGACTACCTGGAGTCCTAGGCTCACTTTCTACCAGCTGATTGACACCAGTGTGTTAACACCCCTTTCCCAGCAAAGCTCTCTACTGTCAGCCCTGAATTTCATTGGGCCAGCCCTGAAAGAATACCTGTGGCTGATTGGTACCCACTCCTGAAATTAGGGATTGTTATCACCCCTCCACCAGTTGAGCAAAATGAAAGTGAGGCAGGAGAGCTTTCCAAAGGAAAATTGGGGTGTTTTTCCTAAATAATGGAAAATAATGTAGAGCAAGTAAACTCGATAGATGTCCTCTGTGCTAGACTGGAGGAAAACAGTTCAAAAAAGCAGAGATGGGTGTTGACACATATTACATAAAAGCAATCAAAACAGTGGCCTTGAACATTAGTCTCAATTAATTGGAAAAGAAACTCATCATATATACTCTTTTATAATTGAATATTAAATATCTGATGAGGCCCACTCTCTCCTTTTCTGGGATTTTATGTTCTTTGAGATGCTGGAGAAGTATGGAGGAAATGGTGGGTTCACACTAAGCTAGCTTCCTTCCTGTTTCTAGTGTGTCTTCATGCATGACTGAGACTAGAAAGCCAAACACATTCCCAGACTCCCTTGCAGCTAGAGTATTGAATACAAACTAAATTAATTAACTAGATGCACTAAGATTTGCAAGGCAGAAGCAGGGAAGACGTGACTTGGTTGCTTTCTGCTGCCAGGTTCCATTGTGGAGATACTGGGCTTTTCTGTCATGTCCAGCCTCTAGCTATGTGGGTTTGATAAGGATAGCAATGGTGGTAGTGGAGACTTCCTAATGCTGCATCTTCTTAATTATGGAAGAGAAAGCAGCTCCCTGGATGGGCCAGTTCTGTAGCTCTGGGATTCATTTCTGCAGACCAAGCCTAGAGCCTACCACTCTAGCCCTTCTAACAACATTGAATGCAGGTAATTTCTATATTAAATAATTTTCTGAAAATGTGTCTTTTTACTAGATCTAAAGAGGCAGGGTTGACAAAAGTCTCAAAAAAAAAAAAAAGTTTTGTTCTTGTCCAAGGCTAGATGTTCAGATGGGGCTGATATGGGAAAAAGTCTTGGTGACATGGGCAGAGGGAAAGCTCATTTGGCTTCCATGGGGCATAATCCCATGGAGGAATAAAGGACTACACAATTTCTGGGGCTAATTTCATTAATAAGTGTGTCCCTCCTTAGAAATCACCAGGGCTCTTCCCTCTATCCATCCATTGGGAACTATTCTATGTCCTACTGGCAAATGCTATTTCCTCTGCAACCTAACCTATCCTCTCTGCCTCCAAGGCCCCTGCTTCATACTTGCGTATACATGTGCATGCATGCACACAACACACAAACTTTTCAACCACTCAAACCTTTACACATTCTTCCATGACTCCCACAGTCTGGGTTTTTAGTCCTACCATGTAATCCTATTGTTCCTGAATTTCCCTTATAAAAGCATTTTCTCACTGTATTGAAATTGCTCATTCATTTATCTGTCTTCCATGCTGCATTAACTGCAGTAAAGGTAAAGACTGTGTGTCTTGTTGCCAGTATAGACTTGGGCCTCAGTATAATGCCTGGTATACCCATGGCTCAGACATTTAATAAATATTCTAGTATATTAAGGCATTCCAGAAACTGAATTGTCTCTAGGAGCTCTCAGATACAAGATTAGCTCTAAAGATCAAAGGAGGTGATAGAAACTCTGGGTGCTCAGGCAAAATTGGAGAAAATATTTTTGTCTTTCCTCCCCAAGTTTCTCATATTCTAGACGCCTCCACCCATCTCCCTTTGCTTAACCAA